GTGCAGAAAGTCGTAAACATAGTTTATTGTCGGTGCCTGTGATGTGCGCGTGTATCTTCAGCGAAATATTCCTCTAATTTCACTCAATAAATAGTTACGTATACGCCATGTAGATACTGCGGTTCTTTAACGAACTGCCATTTATTCCATATTTCTTTTTTAATTGTTTTTCTTCATTTCATCAGCACCAACCTATGCACTATATGTATGTATGTATTAATTTTCATGACTCCGTTATAGTATGTATGTACGTGCACGCAGTTATGCCGTTGAAAATTCATTGCATACAACATCATAAATTCCCACATCCTTTTACCAATCATCCCGCTGCGCTCTCACTTCACAGTTCAATAATAACGAATTTGGCGTACGACTGAAGTGGGTACACTGCACTTTCGGTCGCGCTTTAAATGGCGCAAGTATTGCACTCAATAATTTCATGCTTGAGGTAGAGCGCTCGCATATTTTTGGGTTTTTCCCTCTTTCCGCTGCTGATCTTCGTTGTTTGTTGCAATATTTTGTGTGTACATAAATATCGATTTCCGAGAGAACTGAATTTTTATAAATTTTTGTTGCTGTTGCCACTGCTATTACAGCAGTATTTTTACATTCAGATACATACATCGATAGCAAATGGCAGTGAATTTAATTCCATTGGTTTTAGTAGTACAAGTGCTTTTTGAGTTGAAAATAAAAAAAAAGATAAAAGGCAGCAGAGAGAAAGTGTGTTTTCATGTTTCTGCTTAACACACTTTACACTTGCAATGTGTATATGCACTTTTATTTTCTTGTTGTTTGCAGGCTTCACCGCGTGTTTGCAACAATTGCAGCACTGCAGTCAGTCTTGCGCGTGAGTGCGGTGTAGTGAGTTATTGAAAGGTTTGGTTATTGATGAATTGGCGCTTGAAATTTATAGCTCTTACTTATTTCAAGCAAAAATGTAGCACCTGAAGTGGCAGTAAATATTGCAAAAATTTATGTAGAATAAGACTCAACCATACATATGAACATGAACTTATGTATGTCTTCCCTAATGATTTTGAATTTTTTTCTTCGAAATAAGTTCCTTCAATAGGCAGACATACATATGAAAGTAACATGCTTCTGCAGTAATACTAGTTACGATGAATTAATGAATGTTTTCAAACCAGTGAGGCTTTTAAATAAATTGAGTACTCTCACCAAGTGAGTGCTAAATGTTGTACCAGTAAATTTGTGAAGAATTCCAGTTTCTAAAATGCAAATATTTTTTAATATTCTACATAAATAGAAATTGACGTTTATGCTAAGTTTAGAGCCGTTGTACTTTCTCCGAGTAAATAATATTTTTGAAGCTAATTTAACCATATCCTTGACCATATCAATAGAAACTCTCCACATACCCTACCATCATAAGTCCAATTCTTTCCCTCGGTCCATTGATCTATGCAAAAAATAAATCACGATGCAGTCAGTAGTAAGACTCAGAGAGTCGGTACTACGGATATTTGGCCAAAGCTCAACCCTAAGCTGTAGTCCAATATCAAAGAAAATCACGCACTATATAGCATAAGACTTGGATTTTGGCCAGAGTGTACTTTTGCAGTTTCCATCATGGATAAACATATAGCCATCTGTGCCTACACTTACGGGTCCAAAATAAACTTGGTGTTTATAGGCACCTGTCTATAAGATACTAGCCGTCATCGATTCGCTACTTCGCTGCTTACTATGTTTGAGTTCGAATCGCTTAACGAGCATGTGAAAGCAACAACAAAGGTAGCTAGCACGGATAGACGATAGCGAGTTTGGTTGTACCTCATTGTGTTCGTTCGTTTCGCCACTCGCTAACTGTTGGCAAATCGATGACGGTTACTAAATAATAGTAGTTCAAGGTAAGGGCGAGCAGCGATTTACTTAGACAACAATGCAGTACTTCTGGCTATATCATCTACTGAAAACAAGTTTAAGCTAATCAAGAATTTCGAAGCTGCTAAGTAGGTAGAGGGTGAAATACTTATGATTTTACCGGACTAATAGCTACTATTTGCTGACCAAAAGTCCCGATTTTTTTAATTCAAAATAGAGAATCCAATATGGCGTCCAACTTTAAAATTTTCTTCCTTTTCACTAAAAACTCGTAAAAATGCAAGGTTTTCGAGGTCGCTGATTTCGACTCTGATGTCAGATATTTTAAATTCAAAATGGCCGATCCAATATGGCGACCGAATTTTATAATTTCCTTTTTTTCACCAAAAACTTTTATATAAGGAGGTTTTCGAGGTGGAGATGTTAGAGTTTTTAAATTCAAAATGCGGGTCCAGTGAGGGATTATCGGATTCGGGGCAAAAAAAATTTAGTTCGAAATAGTAGACCACATGGTTGCTATATATCTGTGGTCATAAGTAATAACCACCTAACTCGACTTAAGAAAAAATTTAGTTATGTATGCTATCGTTTTCTGCAACTACTATTCCATGTGTATGTGAGACCCGTTAACTAGGCTAATTAAAAAGTTATAGATGAAAATATTTTGGTTTTCCCATAAGCTCGCAAGAAAGGGAGCTGACCTACTCTCAGTTAACTTTTTGATCGCCCCATTATCATCGCTTGTAGTACCACCACGGCAACTGCCTCGCTCTAGCAAGAACTCGATGTACTACTTTTAGTCAGCGTTTGGCTGATCTCGACTCTGCGGGCATCCGTGACCTTCAACGCTTCGTTAACACGGTGGTTACACGTTAAATTGAGAAAATGGATTAAAAAAAATTCCGCTAAAGTGTCACTGTAATGCACCTAATTGGCTTAAGTGTGTCTCTTTGCCGCACTCTACGGAAGGGCAACCACCGTAGCCCAACCTAACCTAGGTTGAAAACTTTATTGATAGCGTGCGTTTTGCTTGTAAATGTAAGGTGTAGTAATCGAAAAAATAATCAGTAAAACAACCCTTTTCACATTCGAAAATGCATTTTTTCCCCAGGGCGATGTCATAAGAAAAGTAGGGCATTCAATTTTGCATTACAGAGTATCGAGAAATGAATATGTTTTAATATGAAATTTTTGGAACTTTTTGAATACATTAGAATGCTGATTACATAGTTGGCAGTAATAAATATAAAAATATGCATCACGCATGTAATGCATTACTACTTTACCGACTGGGATGAAATTACAAAGAAAGCAGGTGACTGGATCACGCTTTAATAAAATTGCGCAATAAATGTTTTATTCTTTTAAAACTTTGTGGACAAATTTTTTTAAATGGATATATATTTTCAATTACACAATCCGACTCACGGTATGTATACCCCACATATGTCTCATCTAGCCGGTAAAATTTTGTTTACATTTTAATTGGTTGTAAATGTTTTATTCAACTAGTTAAGAGAAATTTTTTATAATAAGTACTGCTTTCTTATTAAATAAAGTGGTATTGTATTTGCATGACATAAGGCCGCAAATGAATCTCCAATTATATCAGTGAGAAGCAGACATTACTACATCTGAGCACAATTCAGATTCAAACGCATTGGCTTTATCATCAGACTCTTCGGTAACTTGCAATCCATGGAGTTCCGGAGGAAGTTGTACATCTTTTGTTTCTTTTAAAAATGTGCGATCGCTTTCTTTCCGAAAGTACTGTATGTATTTGGAACAGACAGCGTTTCTCTTCTTAACTTAGACCTTACATGTATCAAGAACTTGCTTTCAAGTTCCAACCCTGCAGTAAATCGTGCTAGTTCAGAAATAGCGCAGAACTAGCTCCTTAAGAGGCGGTACTGGTTCTAAATCTATCCCAACGCAATGCTTTCAACTGTCTCTTTTTACATGGCGATGTCCTACGAAGTGGAAATTGCCACCTCTGCAGAACTTTCGAACTAGTTCTGAACTGGTTCCATTTTCGACAGTTCTGGGACAATAAGTTGTTTATGAAAAAAAATTTAAAACTAGATTTTTGGATATTCTTCCTTTTCTAAACTGTTTCCATTTTGGACAGATAACTTTTTTATGAAAAAAATTTTGATTATTCGATTTTTTTTTATTTTTTGAATGAACTGATCGCTTTTGTTCGAGCATGTCCTATGAAGAGACTAATTGTTCCCCTTTACACCCGAACGGGTATAAAAAGCGACTAGTCACTTTTAAAAAATAAAAATAAAAATTTGCGCCAGCTGAGATTCGAACCGAGGTGCTCAGTTTTTTTAGGCGAATACTCTCTCTGCGTGCCAACGCCGCACATGAAATTTCATTGACTAAGTGCGTACATATCATTAAATCGTTAATAGTACCCGTTAGAGATGAGTTGGGGACCAATTGATCTCCAATTATACCCATAAGGGATGAGTCGAGACAAATTGACCTCCACTATTACCCTTATGAGACTAGTTGGGACTAATTAATGCCCAATTGTACCCGATTGAGAGTAGTCTCGGAATACTCTCTTTAGAGATTAGTCGCACAATTTCTTGCAGGGTTAGTAAGAAAGTGTGGGTGTATTGGAACTTGCTCTTAACCCAGCAGGCCGCCAAGTAGTGCAAATTATTAATACTTCCTACTTCACTTTTCATGAATGACTTTGGTTAGCGCAAAAAGCAGTTGAGTGAGATCGTTCGTATACGATCATGAGTCCATGCTAATACAGATAATTTTTTCATGTGATCGTTTATCTGATCTGATACACAGCAGCTACAACTTACGATACTGAGTACGTAGCTACTCACTACCTAACCTTGTAGCCGTATTATTTCGGCTTCTCTTCTACCTATATTAGTCAGTTGGAAATTCACTGCTACTCAAAATGCACGTAACTAGGCAATACATTTTTGTAGTACCTGGGGTCAAACTAACAAAAGAATACATACATATATGCTGCAGCGTGGCCTTCAAGGGTTATGTCAATGTAGAGGTTATTATCTAAGAATATGGATTATCACTATTACATTGTTTTTACTTTTCTTCTTAAAATTATTCAAAAAAAGGCAGTCTGAAATCATTAAATTTTTTTCATTCTCTATTTTCAGGTCTCAACCCATCCTATATTATTTATGTGAAACCATTAATTTTTATGGTAAGTTTTTTTAGTGTAAGTATAAATGACACAATTTATATATAAGTATATAGACACATTTTTAAACCCTAATGATACACGTGGATTTGATGAAGATGATAAAAATTATTGACATTAAAAGTGCTGTTTGGGGCAAATTTCTTAACTAATTAATGATACTAGTGAACCCGCAAGGCGTTAAAACGCCAAAATTGAATGTAACTTTTTAAACAGATGTAACCCTATTCAAAAACCTCAAAAAATATTCTTAATGATTCAACTAAACCATTTCTGAGTGATGAGATGTCTCGCATGGTGTCGGTTTTAATTTCATCAAATTTAAAATCTCCCTGTACCGCTAAAAAGTTCTAACTTCAAAAAATAAAACGTTTTCGCTCGGATTCTACGAGTTCTTTAATTTGACTTCTAATTTTGACCTTCAAAAAATAGATGGCAACCCCTATAAAAAAATATTATCAGCTTAAATTTTCTTAAAACTTTCGTTTGATACTAATATTTCAATATTTTATTTATGTAGCTTGTGTATAAGTAAAATAAATTCGACTTTTCAAATAGGTGGCAACCCCTTTAAAAATATTTTCAAACTAAAATCTTTTTATCGTCTGGCATTGTTATACATATTTCATTTAACTAATGAAGTAAGTTAAATTGGATTTTTAAGCGGCAACCCTATTAAAACTTGTTTTCGAACCAAAATTTCCTTAAATATTTTTCGTATGACATTGTCATAAATATTTCAAGTAACTGATGAATTAAGTTGAAATTTATTTTTTTCGAACACGTGGCAACCCTCCTACATATAGTTCTGAAATAAAGGGTTTAAACCCCTTCTATTGGTAACCATCGTTTAGTAATTCATTTAATTTATTAAATAATTTTAATTTAACCTTTTGAACTGGGGCAACCCTCAAACATATCAAAAAATATTCTAAATTATCAAACTAAATATTTCTTAAACTCTTTCATTTAACATCCAATTTTAATATTTCATATAACTTCGATATAAAACTCCTCAAATATTTGGCAACCCTCTTCGAAATAGTTACAAACTACTGTTTTCGAAAAAATAAAACCAGTTTGCACATCTACAGACCAAGCGCTTTCATTTGACATCTCATTTTGAACGGCCGAAGGATAAAGATCTCTTGTCCTGGACAAAAAATTCCTTCGCATATTATATATATATATATGTATATAGATATGAGATGGGATAATTCAGAAAGCCCTGATAAACCTGAGTAGAAGATCGACATATCTCGGCAGCCAGTTTGAAAACGCCCTATCTCAGAAAACTTTTCAAGAACGCCCTATTTCATAATTTTATTAAAAAAAAACCCTATCTCAGAATTTGGTTGAAGAACGCCCCACCTCAGAATTCGGTTCAAAAATGCCCTATCTCAGCACATTTTCAATGTATTTGTAGCTGAAATAAGGCGTTCTTGAACCGAATTCAAATATAGGGCGTTCTTCAACCAAACTCTGACATAGGGTGATTTTCAATAAAATTCTGAAATAAGGCGTTCTTCAATCTGCGCTACAACACTTTTACAATTATTATACTTAAGACTCATAAAAAGTTCAAAAGGGCTTTAGGGGGTATATTAGTGGGGGCTAATCTCTCTCGCGTCTCTTGAAAATAGCATCGCCTTCGACGAGACGATGCGATTGAGTCTCTTTGAACGAGTCATAGGCAATTAATTAGAAATCAGAATCTACTTAAACTACATATCGCACTGACTACGATCAAAACTTCGATGTTCATTTTTCCGATATAAGCGACTGGGGATTTTATATTGCTCTCAGCGATGACGAAATATTCATTTTCACGGACGGCTCTAAAATGGATATCTGAACAGGATATTCTTCTTCTCTCTGCAGTATATTTCCAAGCTGAGATTTATGCAGTCGACATGGCGGAAAATCTGGTGAGCACGATCGTGCTAGCCCCTGTTGACAGTCAAACGTCTCAAATTTCTTTGGGACAATTCCTTCGAGAACCTGGATATCTTGGGGGAAGCTCCACTGAAAGGACTGCTAGGATTCGGTAGAGAATCAAAATGGTTTCCACAGATGAAGGGATAGGTATGTGTTAATCCCCCAGGCATCACAATGGACCTTTCTGGCCTCTGAGTGAACTCCTTTCAGAGCTAGTGGGCAGCCTAACCTTACGTAACTTACCGGACACAATCTGCAAAAAGTGCACAACTCAAAAAAAAAAAACAAATTTGGTAGATTTTTTGCATAAATCAATTCCAAGAATTTATCTGCAATTATTTATATTTTTTTCTGCATAATTACTTATATTCTCTACCTAGAAAACTACTGTTATACCTGCTTTTGTATCATTTGCGTCGACTCTGTTCAATTCAGAAGCAGTTATATTTATTTTCGCAAGTGCTGTACGCGCAATGCTCTTCCTTTTATACTTGAGGTCTTCTTTGGTCTAATATGTACCTATTTCTAGGTATGGCTCAGGCCCAATGGGGGTTATGTTTCTTAAAACCATTTAATTGCTGCTTTATTTTCGGATCTGATTCACCGTTTATATACGGCTAATATCTTAGTTGTTTTTATTTTTTTAGAATTTTTGTGTAATTTCTTAAATACTTTACATAAAAAAAATATGTATAAAAGCATATACATGCATATTTAAACCTTAATCTATGACCTAGTTAATTATTTTAAAGTTTTTTGTAGCGAGCCCCTAAAATGTGAAAATGGTTTCGGATAGTTGATTTCGAATGCCTTTAACTCAAATTCCTTAACACATCCCCAAGCTCTATCTATATAAATTAGAACTAAGTAAACAACAAATAGTTTAGGTAACCAAAAAATGTTGTTTTTACAAAGCACTGGGAAACACATGTGAACTAGAATGTATTGGGCACCACCTCCGACCGCACATTCACAATTCAGCATATTTGTTGCACACAGAGCAGTTCGCATTGTATTGTAAATAGTATTTCAGTGAGAGTGTGCTTACATAAATAAATACCAGTGTGCAGCATTTCACATAGCTGCTTCAACCACAAATGCATTATTCGAATTGCTGGTGTATATTTTTATATACATGCAAATATGTTTGTATAAGTAAGTATACACAAACAAACACATCGAATTATATAAGCAGCGGCAACACTGCAAATGGTTTACGTCTATACTTATACAAGGCAGCTAAAGTCCTAACGGAATTTCGGTTAAACGAAATTCGTTACATTCTACAATGAATGTATGTATGTCAGCAGGCGATTTCCTTTCTATGCCACATGGAAGGTATGTGCAATACGTACATGAACAGACACACGCAGATGTACACATCCCTGCAGGAAATTAAATTAATTTTAAAGTAATTTATAAACAACTACTACTAAAATTAAATTAATTTTAAAATAATGTATATAATAATTTTTTGAACATAGCGATTTCCTAGGAAGCAGTCAATAATCGGACTCTGCAATTTAAATTCAACTACTTTAAAATTCATTTGGATTAAAGTACTTCGAAGTCAGTATATTTCGTTTGAATGCGCTTTTTTTCTGCACTTCACAGATGCTTTTTCATATTTCCATGGCAAAAAAAAATCATTATCATTTTCACATGTTGTCTCTGTTGGGATATGAACCCGAACAAGTAACAGCACGCATCTGTGCGCGCTCAGCTACAGCCAGACATGTAAGAGTGCAAGCAGCAAGTCGATTGTCCGACTCTGCATTTGATTTCAACTACTTTAGAATGTATTTGCATTAAAGCACCTCAAAGCCGGTGTGTTTATTTTGATTACACTTTCGTTCTGCACTTCACAGATGCTTTTTCGTACTTCCAAGGGGTAAAAAGAGTATCGAAATTCGAAACATTTACTCACTGCATTTGTTTCAAAGTAATTTTTCAATTAGTTGATTTTAAAAAAAAAAGTCACTTGTTTCCGTCAAGGATCCGATAGCATTCAAAAGTATTTATATCCAAAGCTTTTTTTTTGCTATTTTTCGTAAAGCAGAAAGCAGTCGAGTCGTTTATAAAATGGGAAACTCTCTGGAATGCAAAGTGCATTTGTATACAATTTGTTGTCTGTTTTTCGGAAGGTTTGCGTGGCCGCAGGAGCTACTGCATCGAAACAAACAACAGCAGCAATACACCGCTAACAGCCACTGGTAAACAAAGATCACTTTGTGTATTTGTATGGTTAATACATATAGTCGCGCACACAAACTCATACAAGTAAATACCCTGCAGGGAAACCGAGGACTGGTGAATCAAATTTCTAGTTCCGTACTAGGTCTTTATCGCCAAAAAGGAACTAATCCGATAGGAACTAGATCCCTTCCAGTCCAAAATCGGCGAAAAGTGGTACTTTTAAAAAACTAATTTTTTTTCAGTTTTTTCACTAGAAATCTATATCTAAAGTGACGAATTTAGAAATGGTTCGGAACTATAGAAAAGGGATGCAGAACGAACTAGATCTTATTTGTCGAATTTAGAACTAGTTCGGAACCATCGAATAAGGGATGCAGCGGGGGGCTTGTTTACTTTACATAGATAATGTGCTCGGTGACTTTTTCGTTCAAATACGCTTCTATTCTGTGCTTCGCAGATGCTTTTTCATAGCTTGGTAATACAAAACTAAAATTTGTGTCAACATTTCAACATCTTGGGACCGTCTGAAATATAAGAAATAACACCGATCACCTCTGCAAACTCAGCTACAGCTAAAGGTATGTAAACGTACATTTCTTCATTGAAACAAATTTAATTTCAAATTGAAAACACATTTCTTCCAAAATAACTTAAAATCGCGCCTGTCGATTTTCGGCTGTCGATTTTCGAACTGGTTCGGAACTATAGAATTTAGGTCTAGTTTGGAACTATCGAAAAAGGGTTGCAGCGGGGGGCAATTGACACTTCCTAGGACATCGCCATGTTAAATTCGCCAGTTGCTTGCATGCAAAAGAGATTTATCGCGAACCAGTGCTGGGTCTAAATGTACTAGAAGCGCACCAGTTCAG